ATTCAGCCCAAATCCCTCCTGACTGCTTTCAAGGGAAAAGGGGAAATATTTCACCCTGTTCAGAATGAGCAAAAGCTGATGTTTGAACAGAAATCTCAGCGGAAACTGCTTATGTAACCACAGCTGGTATGTTGCGCACCTAAATACTGACAGCCAATTTACTTCTTGGTGTAATATAATTCCAAGTCAGTCAATAGAGCCCCACCAGGGATTAATTTGGTCTTTAGTATTTACTGGGTTAGCCTCACAGTCAGGGCTGGAGGGGGAAGGAGAGGGACTGCTCCTTTTCTTTTGCTGCTACAGTCAGTGCAGCACAAGCATTTTACTGATGTCGAGGAATCAGTAGGGCTGAGGTAATTCCACTACTCCAGAGCTGGGGATGGTTTCTTGGTGCCTGTTCATTTGAGGAGGTGCCTGGAAAAACTGCAAAGAGCACTGAGCAGGAGAAGCAAGGGCTAAGGTGTTTTGGTACAGAAAGCAGCCAGAGGAGCTGGGAGGTTTTTTCCAGGGCAGGGAGAAGTGCTTGCAGTGGAAAGGGCAGCTGCATGTGAGTAAGCCTAGGCTGTTTCCTTTCAGGGACGGCAGAGCTGATTAAGCAAGTACCTGAGGTTGGAAAACCTGCATGTCATGTTACTTTTTGCTGAAGGAGCAGAGGTTGTTCTCTTTTGTTAAATGAAACCAAAAGCCTTCTCTTACAGTAGTTGTAGTACTATTTTTTTCAGTTCTTATTAACAGGTCTCCCTTGCTAGAGACGAATTTGTAACCCAGCCCCATCATGCCAGGTGCCATGTGAAGACATGACCTCAGGGATCCTGTGCTACCTGGAAAGGTAGGAGCTGGCTATCGTCCCGCTCTTCGCTCTTCCTTCCCTAAGGCCTGACCAAGAAACCAGTCAGAGCAGGATCCTCCAGACTGCCATGACTTGCTGCTTTCCGTGTGTGAACTTACCTGTTGTACACCTTGCTGCCTAAGCCTCCCAGCCTGTTTGCAAGCTGCCTATGTCACGATGCTTTCCATCCACAGTGGTGTGTTTTGCAGGCGCTGGTGCTGATTTGTGTGGAGAAAACCCGGCCCTTAATTCCTGCTGGATTGTGCTGGAGCTGTGGAGGTTTACATCTTCTTCTGGTCAACCCCATAGCCCACCAGAGATGAGGAATACAAATCCTTGTCCTGCAATCCTATGTGTTGTTCCTTTCCCCAAAAAACAAGCCAGAAGTTGAGATAGGAACATCTCCTGTTGGGACTTTGGTGATTTGTTTTTTTGTTGTTAATGAAAGAAAGGGGAAAAAAACAGCCCAAGTCTCATCTGCTCAGTGTGCTGATGGGTTGAAGAACAGCAGACCCATGGCTATGTTTTTCTGCAATCAGCAATTAGCTTTATATTTTTTCCTTCTCCCCATCCCTCTGAGAAAGAAATGATGGAAGGCCCCACTTCAGAACAAATTGGGTTTTTACAAAGGGAGGGAGCTTTGCAGGTGGCTTTGTGTCATGCTCCTGGTAGGACTCTGGAGGATACAGTCTTTTATTCTTGACTTCCCATCCTAAAGATGTCCTCCTGTTCTGGATACTTGGAAGAGTGATTTCACCTCCACCTTCTCTGAAAACAAGCTATTAAATATGTGAATTCCCTCTACTTATCTTTAAATTTCAGCATCAATTCTAAGCAAATATTTGCCTCGTGAATGCTGGGAAGATGTAGTTTTATTTGCAGGAATTACAGTGCAACTTAAGCTACATGTAACATAGACTAAACATGGTGGTAGGTACAGGCTGGAGAGTAAAGAAGAACTGCTAATTAAAATGTGAGGTTCATTCATGTGCCTTGATTTTTTATTTTTATTTGGAAGACCCCAAGTGAACACTCCAGGCAGCCTGTTAGAATCATGCTTGTACTTTCTTGCAGCCTCACTGTGGGTCACTCAGTGCAGGAGCAGGTTTTTGGCAGCCCTTGTGCATCAGTCCTCCAAGGGGCTCTGGCCTTGTCCCCGTGCCAAAACCCTCCTGAGCTTCCCTGCTAAATTACTGAAGCCATATTGTGAATGTCACAGTAGCAACATGCAGTTCCCGAGATTTGTAATTTCCAGAGCCTTCATTTTTCTGCTCCAAAGCTGGGTTCTGTTCAGCTAACAGAGTCCAAGGAAGCTGATTTCTGAAGCTGCTGAAACACATCTAATGACTGGTGTGAGCATGTTCTCTGTTATTTTAAAATTTAACTCACTCTAGTGCTCAGCAGTGCTTTAGTTACCCTCCTGTTGGCTAGGGCTTGCTGCAGAGGAAAGGACTCTACTAAAAATGTAATTTTTACAGGGCAGTTTGGCAGAAATGTGAGTATCAGGGGGGAGCAGCGCGATGCAGCTCTCTGCTTTGAGGAGAGAGGCAATCCTTAGCACTGGGTGACGCTCAGCTGTGTTAAATGGAGCCCGCAGAAGTCCCATTCAAAGGGGATGCTTCTGCAGGGAAAATGGGGTAAAGGAGAACATTTCAGTGTCTCTCTGTTTAAGGACAGTAGCTAACCCCTAAAGCAGGTGATGGAGAACAAGAATGATTCTGCAGTGCTGTATCGATGGAGCAAGCTGTCATGTGGTTTTTGATAGAAATCCACTTATTTTATAACTAGGGGCTTATAATAACATGGGGCTGAACCTTTTACTGCAGATTTTAGTAAGTGACTCAATAGTGGCTGTGGCTGCACTGTAAAGCATGGCCATACCTCCCGGGGCAGCCTCCTAAGGGGACACATCCCTGTCTTTCCACACATTATGTTCTGCTAGGTATGTAAAATATTTGCTAACTTCTCATTAGATAATGCTGTGATGGTGGTCTCATAAATCCTTGCATGAATGGTTTCCCATTTGAATGCTGCTGAAGAGCCGGCGAAGCTCATTGTTCAGACTGATAGGAGTGTGCACTACTTTCCAATAGGGGATGTGCTCATACGGAGAGCTGCAGATAAAGGCATGCATACTTCCCTTGCTGCCTTCCAGGACTGTAGCTGTTTGGGCTATTTCAGCTCTGTTCTTTTCTGCTGCATCACCAACGATTGGTATTTGTTTCAGGCAGGCTTCTGGTTGATCTGTACATCACGCTCAGATGCAGTGTTCACCACCGGGGCTCCCATGCAGAGTTCTGACCCTCTGGATGGGATTCCTCTTCGCCTACGGCACTCCAGAAGCATGGCAGTCAACAGAATTCACTGATACACAATCAAGTGGGGCTCAAATCCTGACTGGGGGAAAATGCTGGATTGTCACACACACTGAATGCAGAGGAAGCAATGAAACTTCGGCTTAAAATTTAAGGAAATCACACTTTTTTTTTCTTTTTTTTTTTTTGAGTCAGTGCCTCCAAATAGTTGAATTCTCCCTTAATTTCATCCTGCATAGACTTTGGGCCTGGCTAAGATCACAGCAGACACTGATTTTGCTCTTTCTTGCTAGGTCCTTTGGACCTCCATGAGAAGGGCAGAAAAAAAGCACGTTAGCCTCCTAGTTTCCTGCAGCTTTGCTGCATTTCAAGCAGACTCTTAGAGCTGGAGAAGACTTAACTTACGGTGTACGTTGCCAAGAGAGGTGGTGGAAGCCCTGTCCTTGGAAGCATTCAAAGTTAGGCTGGATGGGAGCACCTGATGGAACTGTAGGTGTCCCTGTGCATTGCAGGGGAATTGGACTAGATGGCCTTTAACGCTCCCTTCCAATGCAAACGATTTCATGATTCTATGATTTTTCCCTCTCAGTTGCTTGTTCCATACACTGAACTTCTCAGAAGTTGAGGAGTGAAAACAAGCTAACAACAACAAAAAAATACCACCATGAAACTTGCACCAACCCAAGACACCATATCTGTGATAAAACAATGTATCACCCATGGGTTTTTAAACCAGTTTTGTCAATATGTGGAGGGGGTTGACTGCCATGCTGGTTGGGAGACAAAAGGAATTGCTGCTGTGTGTTGGGACTGTTGGAGGAGTCTTTGTTGGCAGGGTTTGTGTTGGAGGAGTCCTCTGGGCTGGGCACAGTGATGAGGACATCGAGCCAAGCACTGGGGATCTGGCCTTTTTTCACCCCAAAACATGCCATAATTTAAGCCTACGAGGTGGGTAGAAATGCCCAAGATTGCCATATACTGACACAAAACTGCGACCATCTTTGCACCAAGCAGTAAGATTGCCCTTCTTCACGGCTGCACCATCAGCATGACTTCTCATGTGTCACCCACGCCAAGTTTTTCTCCCCCGCACCCTGTGAAGTGAAACTTTTTCAGCGTACAGCGCATAAAGGGGACAAACAATGGGAAATAAACGGCCCTGAGGGGTGACAGTTGCGGAGCGGGTTCTCCTCAGGAAACCACTCGTTGCAGCCGCTCTCTTGGGGAGGCTGTGTGAGGAAAGCTGAGGGTCCAGGGGCTCGCATGGGGCCCCTCAACTTTTGTTCATAGCCCCTTGGTGTGACGAGCTCCCCCGGGGACTGTCAACCAGCCATTGGGGACGGGCACAAGGCTCTGGGGAGGGGCAAAGCCCGCGACAGGGCGAAGGACCGCCGACGCTGTGAGGGGCTCCTTCGAGGCTAGCGGGGGCGGGGGGGTCCGCGGGCCTCTGAGGGGACGGGATCGGGGGGCGGGGCCGCTCGCGGCCATTGGTCGACGGCGGCGAGCAGGGCCGATCGCCATTGGTCGCCGCGGCGAAGAGAGCGGCGGAGCGGCGGGCGGCGATTGGCTGTGGACGAGGAAGCAGGAAGGAGGACGGAGGGGCTGGGCGGCTTGCGGGGAGTTCGCGGCGAGCGGCGGCGGTAGCGGCGGCGCCTTCTTCCCTCCCTCACCCACCCCCCCCTTTCTCCCTTCCCTCAGCCCCCGCCCCCCCTCCCCTCCCTCCGGCCCCCGCCCCGCTCCCGGCCTCTGCGCGCCGCCCGCCCGGGCCGCGCCGGATCGCGACGCCCTGCGGCGAGGGCGGGCGGCGGCGGCAGCGGCGGCGGCGGCGGCGGCGGGGAAGAGCGCCTCATCCCCATCCCGGTGCTGGCGGAGGAAGCGACGCTGACGCAGCAGCGCGGAGCCCGGCGTTCGGGCGCCGCTGGATCTCGCCCCACCCGGGGTGAGTCCCCACGCGGTGAGGCGGGAGCAGGTGCCGGGCCGCCGAGCTCTGGGAACTTTGGGCGAGGGGGTGGGAAGCGGCAGGTGGGGGGGCCGGGCCCGGGCGGGCAGGTGCGGGCGGCGGTTGGGAGCGGGGCCGGGCCTGCGGCGGGGCCGCTCCCCCGGGGCTCGGCGGGACAAAGGCGGCGGGGCCGGGGAGGGGGGGGGGGCGGCTCCTGAGGGGGAGCGGCTCCGCGTGGGTCAGCGCTGAGGCGGTCCCTTGAGGAGGGGGAGCGGCCCCGCGTGGGTCTCCCTGAAGCGGTTCGTGAAGGGAGCGTCCCTGCGTAGGTTCCTCCGAAGCGGGTCCTGAGGGGAACGGCCCTGCGTGGCTGTGCGAGGGAGAAGTTGGCGTCGGGCGGCTGCGTTTTATAGGACCCAGTCCGAACCCCCACCTCAACACCCTACGCGCTCCTCGATTTGTGGGACCTTCTCCCGTTTTGTCCCACGCCCGGTGCAGGTGCTTAGGAGCCGTGCTTGAGTTTGGATTTACAGCCCCATCTCTTCACCCTTTCCTCTTCGTGCTGCACTTGCCCGTTTGCACATCTCTCCCCGTTGGACCCGTTGCTCCGTTTCCTCTTCTTCTTTTGTGTAGCGGAGCTTCTAATGGAGGCAGCTTCGCTGGCTCCCTCTTTTCCAGCTGCTTCCACGAGACCGGCGCATGTGACCGGGCCGAGCTTTAAGATCTTAAGGGGGGGAAAAGGGGGGGAAAAAAATCAGCATTTGGGATATATTCTCATCTCTGCCTCTTCCTTCCCGTTCTCCTTGTGGAAGAGGGTTTGGTTGGATTTTAACACCCCAACCCTTCCCCCCCCTCCCCCCAACCGGCCCGAAGTCAGAATTGTCGGGAGCTTTCGGATACTCGTTCCATTCAGCGCTTAGGTGCAATTGAAGGTCGAGCTCTTCGGTCCTGCTGATGAGCGCTTAGTTTTGGGGTCTTCAGATTCTCAGCTGAAGGCTTCCTGTTGTTGTGTGATGGACTGATGCTTCTGAAACGTGAATGTGGTTGAAATAGCAGTGTGCTGCTGGTATCTTTACCAGGAATATCCTGCTAAAGTGTTCATCCTGAGCCATTCTTGGTGTGTGTCATCTTTGAGCTACCTCAGTCCTTCCTGAGTTCAGCTGGAGCTCTGTGAATACTTGTTTGTGGTCATGAAGTGTGCCTTAGGCTGATTTACCAGCACTTTAATTTTTTTTTTTTATTATTATTATTATTTGAGCATTGATTTCTGTTTGTTTTCCTAATTAATTCAATGCAGTGATGGAGCAGCAGCGTGGGTTTCCTAACTGCTGTGTCTGTGGTGACATGTAGCATTACTCCTGGGTATAAAATCAGCTGGAAAACCCCAAACTTGTGAGTGACATAACTTTGTGGGAGTGGAAAACCCTTCCTGGATATGCTCCCTTTGGCATGGACTGACAGTGATGTTTGAATGGTACAATTTTACTGAGAACTGTTGTGTTTGGAGGTAAAAACAATTGGAACCTTACTTTGTAGCCCAAAGTTGTTGGTTTAGAAGCTGCTGGGTTCTTTTGACTAAGTTTAAGGTTGTGCTTCGTCTTTCTTAGAACCATCTGCAATACCTTGTTGCCAACCTGGTAATCTTATTATTTCTGTGGGATTTTTCCTCTTGCTGGGCAAATTGATACCAATGGTGTTGGTTGTTACTGTGTGATCATGGCACTGTATGGACTGGGGGACTGGTGGATATCCTTTTGAGACAGCTTTTGGTCATTATTTTTGGGAAATCAAGCAGGTGAATCTGGTGCTGGAGGTAGTGCAAATAGTGTGGATTTTTGTGCCCCATTGGTTAACTGTAGCAATGCAGCCCATGGCAGTAACAAACCACTGCTTCCTGCCCAAGCAGCTGAGCTGATGGAGTTACAGCTAGCGTGTTGTTATAATACATGAAACAGCAGTTTGGATAACTGAGAAATACAAAATCTGGAAAATAAACACCCTAGAGAAGCTGTAAAATTAAAACTTGTGTGTTGTACCATGGGCTGGCACCATTCCGGATATCTCTGTATGTGATGGTGAGGGAAGTGTGGTGGCTTCTAGGGACTTTCCTCCCAGCCCATAAGGTTTTCTGATGATCTCTTTTGCTTTGCTTCACTTTCCAATGTGTTTGTGTCATCTGAAGGCAGGTTACTGATGGCCTGTGTTCAATCTGTTTATTTTTGTGCCTGCAGCTCTATGTCAATCTTCAGTATTTCCTCTAACGGTGAAGGTTGAGGACCATTGGTAACTTTTGGATGTAAAGTCTGGAAAGGGGAGAAAGGAAAAAAGGAAGAGTTTTCTAGCTGGTACTCACAGGGAGCCATGCCCTTCCAATTAATTCTGGAAGCCTTTGGGGCAAAGGGTGATTCTTTGGAAATGTTAGTAGCCATCCAGCACCAGCCTCTGCACACTTCTAATGGGGAAAAAAAAAAAAAGTAAATACATATATTAAAATGTGTGGCCAGATTGCTGCTCTTGAACGAAGGAATTACCTCTAATGAGAGTGTTGTGAAACCCTCTTAAGTTTTTGCACTTACAACCTCCCCATGCTGGCAAGCAGTGTCCTTTGAACAGGGAAGATGTGTTTAAATCTAAAACTGATGGATTTGTTTCTCAATACAGAAAGAAATACGATTGGTTGGAAAAGTGCAATAGGCCTTCATCCACTCACTGCCCAAACTTGATTGTTAGCATTTACTTTTACTGGAAAGAAGTAAAATTAAGTAGGAAGTTGCAGTGTTTCTGTGAAAGTGAAGAATCCTCCCTTGAAAGAATGGGGTGAAGGCAATATTGTGTTAGTGTGAAATGAGGGAGTGCTGTTGTCATTAAAGCAAAAGCGTAGGGTATCATTAAGCAGAATAAATGCAAATCTGGTTTAAGATGAATTTGTTTTGCACCTGTTCTCTCACTTATGTCAATATTTGGGAATTGGGATTTAATTAATCTCTTAAATGTTATTTCTTCTCTTGTGATGCAAGCAAAACCCCATTGAAAACAGGGCAGAAACTGAAGCTGGCTGGGTGCACCAAATGTGGTCAGCTGGGAGAGGCAGGCAGCCTGAGCCTCTTTGTTAAATATTTTCTTTACGTGTTAAGTCTCTGCATGAGCATGGATGCATTAATATAAATCCCAAAGAATGTTTCAGGTGAATTTGTGGTAGAAGTCACTGAGCTGAGGGCATCCAGCCTCCACCTGGGCGGGAGTAGCTGAAGTGAGGATAACGGTTTTGGAGATATGGTTAGTTTTCCTATACTCAGTTCATCACTGGTAAGCACTGGATTTCAGGAGTATCTTCTGCAGGGGTGTGTGGTTGTTGACTGCAAGCAAGCTGAAAATGAGACATGGGACACTTGTGCTCTTTGCCTGATGTGCTCAAGCAATGCCTGGGCTCGCTTGCGTTAAGTGGTGGGGACGGTTGGTCCTTCCTTGGCTGGTTAAAGTACCGTGAAAACACGCGGTGTAGTTTGATGTGAGACTGGTGGCTCTAAGCAAACACACTTGGTGTGCGTAACTACACTGTTAGCAGCGGAGCATGGCAAATAAACACTTATTAAGACGGGAAAGGAATGTGCATCAGCTCACTGAGAGCACAGCATGACCAGGGTCTCACTTGAAGCTTTTCATGCAGGAGCACTCCTTCTACCACCTTCTAAAAACCCTGCCTTGCAGATGCATCTTCATTAAGATGTTTGGTTTGCTTACTGCTAAGGGCTGCTTCCAGCTGTTCTTTTTGCAGTTCTTCCTTTGCTGTTTGAGTGTCCCAGCTCACAGTAGGGGATTTTGTGAGGTGCTGACTGCAGCGCTGGGATGAAGACCAGCCTCACAGTGATGGAGAGATCAGGGCAGGGAGGCTTTGCACGTGTCGTGGCACCTCCATCCCCTGCAGAAGCAGAGTGGTGCAGCAGCGTAGTTGCTCTTGAGGTGCTCCTGGTGCTATTCCACATGTTGGGAATTGCGCACAGAGCAGCTGGGCTGAGTCAGGATGCTTTTGGCACCTGTAGTCATGGGATTTATTAAATTTGCTAAATTGCATCATGTTTGAGAATAAGACAGTGCTTTGCTTCAGAGCTGCAGGTTGCTGTGTTCCTTGTGTCCTGATTTTCTGGAACAAAGGTGTGACTAAAGAAGGAAACGATGATTTTCCCTCCTGCTTTGTAAGCCATATCACAGGAATGCTTTCTGGCACCCATTGTTCTTCAGGCAGTTTTTTTTAAGAGCTTTCTCCTGCTTGGCTTTGAGTGCGTGTGGCTTGCCCAGCTCAGCAGGCTCGGTCTGTATAAAAGGTCTTGTGTTTTAATGTCTGCTTGCATATCGATATTTCAAATTATTTACGATGCTTTCAGAAATAAAGAAGAGGTGCTTCCTTTCAATTGACTCAACGCTGACAGCTTTGCTGCCGTCTGAATGATCATCCTTGAAATAAAATCCCAGCTCTGGAGAAGCACCGAGCAGCGTGGGCACTGCTGCCTTGTCCCTGCACCACGCACGGCCTTCTATTGTTCCTGGCTGTGGCCTGTGCAAAGCGCTGAAAATAGCCCGCTCCCGTCTGCCTTCATGCTGCACAGCGTTCTATCGTGTCCTCTTTGTGTCTTTGCCTGCTGAATACCTAGCTTGGGATTACATCCGCAGCCAAGGAGCTGCGGGTACGCACGGAGGAGAGGCAGGAGCTGACTTTTGCAGGCTGGAGGGGCAGACACTGCGGTGGGGAGCACGGCTGAGCAGCAGCACCGCGGTGCTCACAGTGCTGCCTGAGTCGGAAAGTGCCTGCTCGGCACAGAGCCTTTGCTGGGGAACTTCTTTCAACTGGATTTTTTTTTTTTTTAATTTAACGAGGCCCTAAAATGGAGGGGACTTGGTGAGGGTGACAGTGTTATGTGAGTGTGCCGGGGGGGCGAACATGTTCTGGCTGATCTGGGAATAGCATGGAAGGGGCAAGGATTTGTGGAGGAGGGTATTAATGCATC